GGAATAGCGTTCTGAAAAAGTTGATTAATTTGTATATACATACAAATTGTATGAAAGCACATCTTAACGTTGGTAAACTAATATCACCTACACAAAGACATCTGAATAAGAGCGAATGAAAATCAATTAAATGTAGTGTATGATTCTGAAGATCTGAACAAAAAGCAAATATTGTTTACACGATGACTTGTCTACAGTTTTGTGATCACGTATGCCGGAAAAAAGAAACAGACGCTCTACTTATAGTCTATTTCTCTGACTCTACTTCAGACGAAAAAGAGCAATTTACTAAAGTCAGGGAGTTGTCAGGTCATCTGGTTTGTATCCGTTCACGTATGTGTAACTGATTGCAAACAAAATGTGCTCTAACTAAATTTGGTGGATTAGGGACGATATTCGAAAAACAAAGTCATTTTCCGTCGGTGGTGGGCCAACAATCATTGGAAATTAATACACACAATTCCATTTTCTTGAAAATGACATCATACCAGGTGCCATGATTTTACAGGATGCTTGATATTATTATTCCCTTACGGTCTAGAAAGCATTTCATAATAATTTGGAAGATTTTTGATGTTGCATATGTTGTACATTACCTTCAACCCAAATGTACATACACAAATCCAAAATGTTAGACGGCATGTTGCTTCAATCGCAGTAGTATCTTGCTCAAAGGCTTTCGAGAAATATGTTACAGAGATCAAGACTTCAGGCTCTCTTTTTTGATCAGTGTGAAAATTATTATTGGCCGTGACAGAGAAGGCTTAAATGTTGAGAAGTTTTAATTAGGCTAATAATATATATTTTTCTTTTACAGTTTCTCCGCTGGTAACATCCCTGACATACAGGGACGGAATCATCACTTGTGACGCAGATGCCAATCCACTCAGACACATCGAATATTACATCATTCTAAATGGCACCAAGCCTAACGCGCCTACTGGTAAAACCCTGGGGTTAATGTTGATGACAATTACTGCACAGAGGTCAGCTGTAATGTCACAAATACGATTGGAACTGGGTCACAGAAACTTGAAGAACCGCTTTGCCCAGGTGACTGAGTTTTCGTCCAATGCAATTAAAGAAATCAAATAATTTAACTTGGTGATTTTCTTTAAAAAGTCCTTCCACTAAAAAAATAAAATTCATTTATTCTCGAGCGATCCTACTGTCGACGACAAATAAATGCAATTTTCTATTTCAAGTTTTCTGTCACATTAATTTAAACTGTTTATAATTCATCCAGGCCCTATAATATCAGTTGGAACAATTTATTCCATTTTGAACATTTTCAATGAAACTCCCGTCAAAACATTCCTGACAATGTCATTCTTTGTCAAGCAATTTAGTGTACGGCGAAAGATTTAGTTTCAGATTGGAATTTCATTGAGGAATCTCATTATCTAATCAAATATCTCGGTTTACATTTCAAAGGTTTTGCTCGTGTATCGCTACCAACAACAGACGGATTAATTCAAAGCACCAGTACCACAGACTCCTCCAGGAAGCAAGGTAAGTTTTGCAACATTGAAAATGAATTAGATTTAATATATTAAGTGCGCCTTTACAACATGATCATTTACCAGATAACCTTACATATATGAAAACCTTGGCTTTGTGGTTTTTTGTTTCAAAAACTTGACAATGCAGTTATCACTTGATAGAGGCCATTCAGAGAGTCCGCAAGATATAACAAAGGATAACATAGGCCAAAATGTACTGATTGATTACGAAAACTGACATAATAAAGCTCATGTTGTCTTACAGCTTCCTATCCTGTAGGCATCATTATTGGACTTGTATTGGCAGCCTTTGTCATTGTGGGTGTCGCTTGTGGTATTGCTATTGTCATATGGAGACGTCGTCAGAGACCATTGGAAACCGGCGTACAAGATGGCATGTAAGTCAATGTAAAAGGCTACGTTGTGGCAGAGACTAATATTTTCTGTGAAAGTTTGAAACCCTAAGTTGTGATTTCCGTTACTAGACGTTTTGAAATAGGCTTCATAACACAGCTTTTAAGGTACATTAATTTCCTTCAATAAACTTATGTCTATTATCGCACCCAGACAGAAGGATAAAAAGTACCAATCTGACAGTTTTTGTTGTAATTAAGAAAAGCTGTTTTTGGAAAACCCAGCATCAACCTACCGGTTTTAAGCATGAACCAATAACAGTTAACTTGATTAAAGTATAACCCATCAGCACCTGTAAGACATTGCGATACTTTGTGTTTATTCACTGAAAAGATCAATAAAACCGGAGAGTGTTCTGGCTGGTTTGGACGCTACAGCCCACAGCGAGTAATAAATAGGGCGTTTTCAAGCTCTACAGTGACAAGGGGGTAGAGACCATTTCTGTTCATCATTATTTTCCTTTCAGAAATGACGTTGTATCACAAGGAGCAGACAATCACAACTCGCCACTGCCTGCCAGTGATCACCATCATCCGAACGGTAAGCACCAGAGAGTAGATGCTGTAAAAAAGGACAATAATGAACGAAATTGAGAAAATGGGTAGGAAAAAGTCAAATAATTAATGAAAGGGGTCTGACGGTCCTATCTTACCAAGATCTTCTTCAGAGGCAAATTTAAAAAAGATTGTTGAAATAAAAAAAAAACCACTACACCGATGTATTGTGCCATGACGGTTAGTAAATCATGTACTCTTTTTAACTTCCCTTTTTCTGAATTAATCCTGCGTCTTGGTCAGCTTTGACCTAAATCACTTCCCGGACAGTGTATCAATTTTCGAATATATATTAAGACACTTTCTATGTCAAACGGCTTGGAAGTGACACAATGTCAGATCAAATCATCAGGGTCCGGCTCGAATCCGACAGCGACTTTGGATGGTAAACATGTGTATGGGATAATAACATCGAATTATTGTTAGTATGTTCTGCACTGCACTAGATGAGCATTTTTAAGTTGTACTTGCCAGATGTATGTCTCAAATTCAATTTAAAATTGAGTAAATCTAAAAATGTGTTGCAGACATTCCACTGCACAAAATTGCCACAGCGGAGGTACGCGAGAGTGTTCCCAATGAAGACAGCGTTGAGCCGGAGGCATCAAACGACGTGGAGTACGGCAATGTAGGAAATGAACTCTCTTTCTCACGAGATCTTCTGGTGATCGAGAATGAGCTGGGACGAGGGCAGTTCGGCAGAGTGCTTTTGGGAAAGGCACTTGGGATCGAGGAAGTCGGAAAAGAAACGAAGGTTGCCGTTAAAACCGTGAAAGGTTTGTTGTCATTTATAGTAATGTCATTCAACAAATCGGGGCTTTGTGCATTGGAGAGATTTTTTGGATGCATACTATAAAGTGATTTGTCTTGATGACAATCACAGCAACATATTGATTAAACACCTATTGGTCTTTACTTGATCAAATTTGCTTTTTGTCGCTTAAATTTTAAATGGTGTCTGTATTGCTTTCCCTATTTGTAAGCACCTTCCGCCCTTCTAACTTACATGCTGCCTACAGCTCTTTCCAACTAGTCCAGAGGGACAGTTTCTTGTGAAAGACACGTGTTTGAGTGTTCATGGTGGAGCTCGAAAGTTTAAAAAACAAGTGCACTAAAAGTCGATCGTTGCATATATTCAGTGGCGTAGCCAGGGGGGGGGGGGGGGGGGGGGCGTGGGGGGGGGGGGGGGGCGACCGCCCCCATGAAACCTTGTCGCCCCCCCAGTCGCCCCCCCCCCACTGAGATTTTGAGTTTCTAAAAAAATTATCATTGATCTAAATCTAAATAGTCGCGAATAATCCACATGATGACCACTGAGAAACGACCCTTCGACCGGCGACCGCGGACCAGTAAGCTGACAACCGGCGTGACATCGCGCATAATGATAATCTAAAATGCGTATTAACACCCACTGCACTGCTCGCTCACACCACGGAACACGTATTATAGACAGGTGGTCCGTGGGTCACACAGTTTCAGTCAGCGATATCACGCGAATCGGCCACGCACAAACTTTTTCCTCCATTCATATAAGCTAAATAATAATAATAGACCAATTAAAATTCCTTGAAATCAGTGGCGTAGCCACAGGGGGGGGGGGCGAATTATCATTGATCTACATGACGCCATGGGCGTCAATCCTGGGGGGACAGGGGGATTGGTCCCCCCCCACTTTTTGAAGGGTGGGGGACACAATATCAAATATCCCCCCCCCCAGATTTTTGAACTCGTGTCTCATTTACAGGGCCCTATTATGTACTACAATGTATCTTTTGCTTAGAAAATATTGGTTAAAGTGGTCAGAAATTGCCTCAGATAGCACCACAGAGCATTTAGAATCCAAATTTTTGGAGGCCCTTAAGAGGGCCCCGAACCCCACGCCTATAGCTCAGAATTCTGGTAGCTGATTCAATGGCTCCAACCTCAAAAACAATGTTCACAAAATTTTCGTATACCTTTAGCTGAGAAAACCTCGAAAATTATGTTTAAATTATTATTTTTTGTGCTAAGATAATTATTGGTTAAAGTGGTAAGAAATTGCCTCAGATCACACCACAGAGCATCGAGAATCCATTTTTTTCGGGGCCCTTAAGCGGGCCTCGAACCCCACGCCTATAGCTCAGAATACCGATAGCTGATTCAATGACTTCACCCTCGAAAACGATGTTCAAATAATTATCTTTTGCTAAGAAAATATTAGTTAAAGCATGGAGGAAAGTGGTAAGAAATTGCTTCAGATCACACCACAGAACATCTAGAATCCATTTTTTTCCGGGCCCCGAACCCCCACGCCGTAAGGGCTTCGCGCTTCGCGCTTCGCCCCCCCACTTTTGAGAAGCGATTGACGCCCCTACATGACGCCCCCCATGAAATGTTCCAGCCCCCCCAGCGCCCCCCCCCCCCCACTGAAAAATTCCTGGCTACGCCACTGCATATATTTTATAACCAACAATGTGGATTATCGCAAAGAGTGTCTTGTCTTCATTGACATACTGCTAGTCTATGGTATGAACCGGTATAACCCGGTAGCATGAGTAGGCTGTGTCTTTCCACTGGATCTTCCAGACCTTTGATTGTGTTTGGCTTTGGCCCCTTGGTCCCTGTCATTGGTAAATCGACCCAAAATAGGCCCCTTCTCGACGAAAGGATTCATGTGACGTGAGGCCAAGGCTTCAAGTGGTTGGGACATTCAGGCTTTCATGTGATGAAGCGGCGATCTGGAAACTTCTCGTTTCTAGGCTTTTAATAACTGTCTAATCGATTTATATACAGAGGACGCCGACAGACACGCCAAGAAAGAGCTTGTGGCCGAGTTGCAGGTGATGAACACAGTTGGCTCTCATCCAAACGTGGTCAAGCTGCTGGGATATTGTATAGAAAGAAAAAGGTATATGAAAAATCTCACCGAAAAGTCCGATTCCATTCTGACTAAATCTGTGGCAGAAGATCATTACAGGCTGACATTTTCACCTCCAGTTTCCATTTGGGTGTTCCCTTTCCGAGTATTGGAGGGATTACCAATAAGTCTTGTGACCCTGGGCTGGTGATTTGGAAGAGATAAAGAGTACAGCCACCTACACAAAATGAGTTGTGACCGACTTGAGCCACTTATGTGATTTATTCTAGATCCCGTGTACGTGATCGTTGAGTACCTTGCTAAGGGTGACCTGAAGAGTGTTCTGATGGAGTATCGAGACAAGGATCCAGGGACAGGTTACTCCAACCTACCTGGCTTGAGCAAATCACTGTCTAGGACATTGGTCAAGTTTGCATGGGATGTGGCAAATGGAATGGCTTATATATCCTCACTAAAGGTAAAACAAATCAATATATCGATTATTGGTACACATGGTCATTGAAATATCGATTATCAGTATGCCACGGTCACTGCGCACGTGAAATCCAATGCCACACCAATCACGGATGTGATAGTCAAATCAGAAGTCACTACTATACTGGGCGGCACATTATGTGAATCGATCTATTTTTTCTCTACTACGCTTATAGAACCGGTGCACTCGTTAATTATGCTGATCTTGGTGCATCCAAATTTCGGTGTTGGCAACTGCGTTTATTCTAAGAGGCATAGAGGAGCAACATCCTATCCGTCTATGACCAATGGGTTCTTCGTCGGGCACGATTAGTTATAATTTTGGAAAGCTTGTATATTAGGTCAAGTATTTCATCTACCACAAAATTCAGGTGGTGGGCTGCGTTACAACTGATAATGTAATAACCAACCGATAATGTAACAACAATTGACCGATACTGGATCACTAACCAATAAAGTTACAAAAAAACGACTAATAATGTAGTAGAAAGTGCTATTCTAATTAACAGTCCATTGTTGTGACATTATCAGTCCTAACCGATAATGTAACAAAAATGTACTGATAGTGTAGTAACATTTACACTGTCGGTCAATTTTTGTTACATTATCGGTTACTAGTGAAACAGTATCAGTCAATTGTTGTTACATTATCGGTTGTAACAGCTTGTCAGGGTAAAAGGCCAAGCGTTCCTGTGCTCGTTACTGGGAGTAAATTCCACCAAAGTCGGTGAGATGGGTAACATAAGTAACAAAACATTGTCAGTCACTCAATGAGATAGAAAGTAAGATGACACAAGACCATCAAGAATGATCTTTTGAGATCAGAGACAATCTTACTTTCTGCATTTGCTTCTTAGTTTGTTTTACACCAAGCTGCTTGTGGTATAATGAGTGGATTTATTTAGATTTTCTGTTGCATTATTATTTTTTTTCAGTATGTGCATCGTGACCTTGCCGCTCGTAACGTGCTGGTGGGAGAAGATATGGTGTGCAAAGTGTCTGATTTTGGACTGGCCCGTGACGTTATGAACACCCGCATCTACCATCGAGAATCACAGGTACCATATGAATACAGGTTCAGCAATATCTATATAGATCCGTCCAAACGAGACATCATCAAACTTGCACACTGTATACATATATTTGATACGAGCCGCACAATTGTCAAACGACAGCATTGCGAGATCACAGTTTTAGCTTAAAACAGTTCCAACATAGAACTTGAAAATTGAAAACATTCACAATAGACTTACCTGTCCGCAGGGTCCTCTTCCAATGCGTTGGATGGCGTTGGAATCCATTTTTGATGACGTGTACACAACAAAGAGTGATGTATGGTCTTTCGGGATCCTGCTGTGGGAGATTGTGACACTTGGTAAGTACAAGACTGTAACATAAATTCGTATTTAATTCTAATTTAATTTTATCAATGTATTAGACATGTATTTTGCACTCTCTGAAAAAACAAACAAAGTCAGATGACATAAAGTACACTACAGTAATATTAAAGTAAGGACAAATTATGAAGGCAATTATAAAATAATACTTAACAACTAATTTGTTAAATCAAGGTTAATAATTAAGGAGCATATACCTGTTCACTTCAGCCAAGGTTTGTAGGTGGAACAGCCTGAACAAATTGTTCAACGTAAACGAAACATAAAAACCCCAAAAGAAACAGTCAGACACGCAAACGAAAGACAGACGAATCAAACGTAGTAAAGTCATAATGTAATGAAGCTGAATATAAAACAAAGAGGGGGAGCTAGGCAGTAAAAGAGGTGGATAATTTGGCGACATCGTAGACTTAGTTTTGCGACAGCAGGCATTTTCCAAGACAAGAATGTGATTGGCAAGGATGAGATTGCTGTGTGACTTGCATGGATAAGATGAGCTTAGGGATCGGAACGTGAATATTTGTATGTGATTGAGCTCAGAGGTGTACGGACTCACTAAGTCAGTCGCCATTCTTGATACTTGATATATATATATACATACATGAAAATTCAATTGTGCACCTTGAACAATAGAGGACAATAGGTCCA